ATGCTATATCTTGGACGTGCTCTGTCGGTTTTCATTCATTTGGCGCATACATGTACTTTATACATGTTAGGATGCATGTCCATGACAATTCGTTTCAAAATCTGGTCAAGGATGGCCGATTGACAGCCATCTGACTTTTTGGCCTTACTACTATATTTCCACAATTTATGTACCATTTTCATTCGTATTTGGCACATACATCATACATATCAGTGTGTTTCATAATCAGATCAAAGATGGCTGAATAACGACTCTTTTTATTTTGGCCATATTACTATGACACGAAACACGTGTTTTGATGTAAATAAACAATCTGTTGTATACGCCACTTGGAACTCAAGTTTCAAGGACATGCTCGCGACAACCCCTCCGCTTTAATATGACGAGCACAAAGAGAACTTAACAGGGACTGTGTCATTTTCAATGACTTGTTATTGTTATATTTCAGGAGAATTGGAAGGATTTAATTTCTCAAGCTGATACAGATGTCTTGGAATGGGCGTCATGTGTTAATAATGATAAATTAATGCTTTGTTATCTTCATGATGTAAAGGTAAGAGCTATGAACAGTTGTTGAATCGATTGGGACAAGGATTTGTTTTTAACACAAGGAACTTAATTCTTATGTACAAGTTGTGAATGATCTGTGTCGTTATCTCATATGGTAAAGGTTGCACTATAATTATACTCCTTATGAACGTAAAAAACTTAAAAAGCATAGTTATTTTATACATAGAAGCAATGAGTTAAGTATCCTGAATCTAAACAAAAATGAAGAGAGATAAAATAGTAAAAATTTGTTATTATTGACAAAATCCAAACTGTTGAACAAATGGTGAAACATTCTTGCCAATAAATTGTTGAAAATTTGGGATTTCTACCAATAGAATGTAAGATTTTTTACTCTTTCCTTAACACCAAATTGGTGAGAATTCACTTACTAAATTTCTCAATTTGAGTAGGGAGCAAAGAAAATAAAAAATAAATAAAAATTAATGGTTTTGTTTAATTTCTAGTACTAAAAAAGTTGTATTAATGGCTGCATTAATAATAAAGAAGATGCATCTCAGATTTCTGGATTTTTTAATATAAGTTGCATCCCCTCTTATAACATTCTACTATTTTAATAGAAGTCGCAGCTTCTATTACAGTAGTCCAGTTGAGCTACTAATTTTGGAGGAATGGTAGTCCTTGGGCGAGAATTATGTCTTGGAATGATGTTAGTATTGACCTCTGATTATAAAACCAATAGTCATTGACCAAGTTCATGTTTATATTTCATCAAGTACTGTTATTTTCATGCAGAGTCAACTGTATCTACATGAGTTGAACACTGGCAATAGACTGACTACATTCCCACTAGATGTTGGTACAATTACAGGATACTCAGGAAAAAAGAAAGACCATGAAGTAAGAAATACCCAGTTTTTATTCTGAATTTTGGGAGGATCAAATGTCTCACTGATTAGTTAACCATATTAATCCAACTTTACCTAATATAAGGAGAACAAATTTCCAATAGTGAATATTAACGCAATACAATGTAATCATTCTCCTGAATAATGTATATACCATATTAATCCAACTTTACCTAACACAAGGAGAACAAGTTTCTCAATAGTGGATATTGACGCAATACAATGTAATCATTCTCCTGACTAATGTAAATACCATATTAATCAAACTTTACCTAATACAAAGGAAACAAATTTCCCAATAGTGAATATTGACGCAATACAATGTAATCATTCTTCTGATTAATGTATATACCATATTAATCCAACTTTACCTAATAAAAGGAGAACAAATTTCCAATAGTGAATATTAACGCAATACAATGTAATCATTCTCCTGAATAATGTATATACCATATTAATCCAACTTTACCTAATAAAAGGAAAACAAATTTCCCAATAGTGAATATTGACGCAATACAATGCAATCATTCTCCTGATTAATGTATATACCATATTAATCCAACTTTACCTAATAAAAGGAAAACAAATTTCCCAATAGTGAATATTGACGCAATACAATGCAATCATTCTCCTGATTAATGTATATACCATATTAATCCAACGTTACATAATACAAGAACAAATTTCTCAATAGTGGATATTAACGCAACACAGTGTAATCAGTCTCCTGATTAATGTATATACCATATTAATCAAACTTTACCTAATACAAGGAGAACAAATTTCCCAATAGTGAATATTGACGCAATACAGTGTAATCATTCTCCTGATTAATGTATATACCATATTAATCAAACTTTACCTAATAAAAGGAAAACAAATTTCCCAATAGTAAATATTGACGCAATACAATGCAATCATTCTCCTGATTAATGTATATACCATATTAATCAAACTTTACCTAATACAAAGGAAACAAATTTCCCAATAGTGAATATTGATGCAATACAATGTAATCATTCTCCTGAATAATGTATATACCATATTAATCAAACTTAACCAAATACAAAGAGAACAAATTTCCCAATAGTAAATATTGACGCAATACAATGCAATCATTCTCCTGATTAATGTATATACCATATTAATCAAACTTAACCAAATACAAAGAGAACAAATTTCCCAATAGTGAATATTGACGCAATACAATGCAATCATTCTCCTGATTAATGTATATACCATATTAATCAAACTTTACATAATACAAGGAGAACAAATTTCTCAATAGTGGATATTGACGCAATACAATGCAATCATTCTCCTGATTAATGTAAATACCATATTAATCAAACTTTACCTAATACAAAGGAAACAAATTTCCCAATAGTGAATATTGACGCAATACAATGTAATCATTCTCCTGAATAATGTATATACCATATTAATCAAACTTAACCAAATACAAAGAGAACAAATTTCCCAATAGTGAATATTGACGCAATACAATGCAATCATTCTCCTGAATAATAGATATACCATATTAATCAAACTTTACCTAATACAAGGAGAACAAATTTCCCAATAGTGAATATTAACGCAATACAATGCAATCATTCTCCTGATTAATGTATATACCATATTAATCAAACTTTACCTAATACAATTGAAACAAATTTCCCAATAGTGAATATTGACGCAATACAATGTAATCATTCTCCTGAATAATAGATATACCATATTAATCAAACTTTACCTAATACAAAGGAAACAAATTTCCCATTAGTGAATATTGATGCAATACAATGCAATCATTCTCCTGAATAATGTATATGTCAAATTTCACCTGATACAAATGTAGTCATGGCATTTAAGTTTTTTGCAAATATTACATTCAGTGAATAATCACATAATTTTTCATTCTCCAAAAACTTTGTATCCATTTTCACTATTTTAGAGTTTTATGGAATATGCTCTGTGGTTTCAATTTTCAATTCAACTAAAACTTGGCGTATAGACACGCATACATGCATGTTAAAAATGCAATCTAAGACATACAGTTCACTGTTCATTTGTAATGAAAATACAAGAGAGGGAGCTACATGTACATGTATGACATTTCCAATGGCTTGTTAATCCACAGTTTTGTTTCTTCTCTGTAGATATTTTACCAGTTTACCTCATTTCTGACGCCTGGTATCATCTATCGCTGTGATCTATCAGCTGATAAATTAGAACCCTCAGTTTTCAGACAGATTGATGTGAAGGGATTTGACCAGTCTCAATTCCAAACTGTCCAAGTTTTTTTTAGCAGCAAGGATGGCACAAAAATTCCAATGTTCATTGTGCACCGGAAGGTAGGTTCACTTTCTCTTATTCTTGTATTGATTACTTTATGCACAGAACTTATGTTAGTCAGTCTGTTTCAAACTGTTTTTGTTTTCTATTTTATTTTATGACCATGCATTTTTCTCTGGGATGTGATGCCAACAATGTCAAGTATTTATTACTAATAATATAAACAATGAATGCAATTTACCCACTAAACACAAACAATCATCCAAAACCTGAAATCCACATGCAACAGAATTAACTATTACAGTTTGTTAGTCCTTTATATTTAGTGTGTCTGTGCGTCCATGCATTATATATTCGTTTTACATCATGTTATAGATGTATTTAAAATGGCTGACTGGTGGCCATTTTGTTTTAATTAATGCTGGCCCAGAGCAATATTTCTCAATATGGATAACTACTCGTTTGACAATTAGATACAAGATGTCAATCATTTTAATGTTAAAAAATCATAATCAAGCATCATCTTCTGGATCTATACTTCTTACATGTTTATGTTCCAACTATATTACTATAAGCAAAATTATATATCGAGGAAAATTGCAGTCTCTCTGTCAGTGTCACCTGTAACACAGTGTTTCTAGATAAAAAATGCTAGGCGTCAAATGTTTCTGAACACAACCTTTTCACAAGGGATACATGTAAACAATGTAGTGTAAAAGTGAAATTACACTGCCCAACAGTAGTCAGCCATATTTAGTCATCCAACAGTTTAAAATGCCCGAAATGAAACTTGTTTTATTCTTATCCTCGGGGGCGGAGCTACGTCACAAGACGTTCCACGTTGCTAAGATGCGCACCGCTGTACATGCATTTCTATGGGCTCTTTTCGCGCTGCTGTGGAACGCCGGTCGAGCCGGTGAAAATTCGAGAAAACAACACAAACTCAACTTTGAAGTAACCCTGAACAATCAAATTTATATATGTTACACAGGTAGGGCTAATCTTGTTACACTGTTCAGAAGAGTCTCAACCACCATCCCGAAGTACCGTTTTCTGTGAGATTTTGGCCTTTGTTTTCACCGCCAGGTTTGCCAAGCAGTGAAAATGCCCGGATGTCCGCCCCCGAGGATTGACAACTAATGACCAACTACATTGTTAGTTATTATCAGCCAAGTACAGTCAGTCGTGTAATTTCACTTATACCTCTGCCAAATATAATGTGAAGTCGAAATAAACAGCACTGTCAATATTCCTACGAATAGTGCAATGTTTCAAAAGGAGATTACTACAGAGATATCGGTTTCCTAATCAGTTATAGGATTCACTGTAACATCATGTGACTGGAACTATTTTGGTGGATGGTAACTAAAGTTGAATTTGGTATCCAAAGGGTTAACTTACCTCATCTCTTTGTCCACCCTTGATAGAATTAACTGAAACAGTTTCATATTTTTTACACAGGGAATTGAACTTGATGGTTCGCATCCAGTCTTACTTTACGGCTACGGTGGTTTCAATATCTCCATTACTCCCGGCTTCAGTGTGTCGCGTATTGTGTTCATACAGCATCTTGGTGGTATCTTAGCAATTCCTAACATCCGAGGAGGAGGGTGAGTTCCCATGGCAATAAAGGATGAGATTAATACGTTTTTCTGGTGTAGATTGTATTTGTGTCCACTGTTCTCCTGACCTATGTATCTATGGTATTCTGTCCAGTGATGACGAGAAAGAATAAAACACTACATGTGTATTTACGTGGCTCTCTCCTTCCCAATGAGATGTCAGCGATCATTTACAAACCAGGCCATTTACTATTTTTACTGCTGAGTGTACATGATAAAGTTGCTTCAGTTTTAACTTATCCACTTTGTCATGTACTCGTTTTCTTTCATTTAATTATTTATTTTTCCAATATCAGTGAATATGGTGAGACGTGGCATAAAGGAGGAATGCTTGCTAATAAACAGAACTGTTTTGATGATTTCCAGTTTGCAGCCCAATGGTTGATTGAAAACAAATACACCTCAGCAAATAAGTGAGTATACTGAGGTTATAAACTATTCACGATCCTAAATATATATATAAACTTAAACGGTGATACAGTGCATGAGTGCATGCAGTGTTGTTGGCTGTTCTATTTTAGCATTCTAATTTATGTGTAAGCACTATGCAGAAGGGAGGTGTGTACAACCTGAACCAGTCATCAGTTTGAACGAGACCAATTTAAAAAGAAAACAGTTGGGTTTAGAAATGTTCATACAATGTCTCAGCTGCCCTAAGTGTATACTGTAAATGCATTAATTATTAGCTGGTTTTTAATTTTGCTATTTTCACTAATAAGTAAAAATCTGCTAAATTAAATCTATATGACCATGTGAAATGAAAATAGAACAAGTTATTAGACATTTAAAATGCCTGTGAAAATAAATGGTTTTACAGTATTTTACATTAAAATCAAAACATTAAAATGCATGTGAAAATAAATGGTTTTACAGTATATCTATCATATTTTGCTGATTGATGATCTATGAACTTAACAAAATGTAGCAGTCAAAATTCCAATCTCAAGTACGTTATCTACTGTTTGAGTACAAGTGTCATCCATATATAAAGGGGATGACCCTATAGCTGATTAAGGTGCTTGTTTGGCTGGGCTTGGTTGAACATAAAGCCAATATATAATATAATAACTGAGAGAAAGTCAAGTCCTGCAGTAATTGATTATGTTTCATGTGGCAAAATACAATGTACAATGTTTGTGAAGTACGCTTCAAACAAATTCTTTGAGAGACATAAATTGCTGATTCCCAAATTGATAGTGTTTGCACGTTTATCATTTGTGCGTTAGTGCAAATTGCGTAACCTGAGCTCATCAAACCGGAAGGTAGGACAGAATTCACTACATTCAATTACCCACCATTGACTCCGGTCAGTCAAAATGACTATTTTGAACTGTAGGCATTAATCAGCGATTCTGCTGGTGACGGAGAGATAGAATCTAGGTCAGGGGAAGCCCCATGACCCCAAGATTCTCTTTTCCTTACGTCAAGAACCATGTGACCGAGCCCATATGGCGGCGCCATCAGGGCTGGATATCCACTCTTTCTTTATCTCCGCATCGACGGGGATGAAGTATTAGCGGCTCTGCCTGGATCGCTTGCTTTTTTTTCCTGTCCGAGTTTCTAGCTTGGGTTGTTGCCGCTGCACGGCATCCGACATTGTAGCTGGTAGGATAAGTTTTCCTTGTCATTTTTACCCTTGTGTCGTTTTCCCGTTTGTGTGTAGTATTTTTCACAACAAAAAAATTAAAATCCGGCGCCACTACATAACCACTTGTTGGTTTCGCGGCGGCACCTTTTAAAACTGTAGGTATTTCGTTTTTCCCTCATGCCTGTCATCTTTTATTTACAATGTATTTAGAAATGTATAGATGTAATGACAGCACCAGGGCTCGCTGCCGTTTTTTTTTGGTCTCCTCGTGTTTCGAGTCGACTGTGCAGTGGTTATACAAAAATGTATTCAGAATTTACCAGCATAGAACCCGCATCCGAGATACTTTCGTCCTAGCTGCGTGCGGGGTTCGGGGTTTTTGCCGTGAAGGTGTGTGTTTTTCACTGGAGTTCTGCGGCTGATCTGCACTGGCTCGGAAGATGAATTCTGATTGGCTAAAAAAACAAAAAAACTTGTGGCGTTGAATGCACGTTCATTGTCAGTATTGTTATGCAAATTCAAACTAGCTAATCATTTACAACCTTCCGAGCCAGTGCAGATTAGCTCGAGTTCTGAGGCCTGAGATTTTTCTTTCAGAGCCATCAAAATCGCTGAGACTGACCGCGTCGCTCGTTTCTTCACAGCAAGGTCGCGCGTCCAGTAAACAAATCGGTTAAATTGAGTTGCGTGTTTGGCATGAGTGGAAAGTCCTCACACTCGGCTACCGGTGCTTCGTGTACCGTGACGTCGAGTAGGAGGCCCGATGGTGGAGGTACCGATATTTTTCTCGGTCTCTCCCTCGCTGATCGGAGGGCATCCTCACAGTCTGTTTTTTTCAGGCGGTGGTTTACCCGATTTTACCGGCTACAGCGAGGCTGTGCCCCTGGAGTCTTTCCTCCTATGGGGCCCGTTGCGGGTCCCTTTGTGGACCCTTCCTCGCACGGCGCCGGGTTTGCCTCCGAGTTGAGGGCTTTGGTCGAAGGACTGTCGGGGCAATTGCGTCCCTGGCAGGCCGGGTAGATCAGACGCAGTCAGAGCGAGCTGTCTTCACTGCGGCCCCTCGGTGGGCAAGCAGGAAGAAACACGAAAGCATGTTTGCATTCAAACACGTCTCTTCCGGGGAACCCCCGTTCCCAGCCGCGGCTCTCCCACTAATTTTGGGTGAGGCCGAGGCTAATTGCACCAGGCCTCCTCTGGAGCCTCGGGCACTGAATGCCAACGGGGTGCCTCCGATCTCGGGGCAGGGCTTTCAGGGCAGGGCACACGTTGACCCCCCTACTTTCAGCCAGCTAGGGTTCGTCACGCGGTAACGGTACAACGGTAACGAATTTATCCTTGTGTCCGGTCTCTGCTGAGGGTTTTGACTTCCTTCTTACCGACCCACGGGCGTCCCCAGAGGGAACCGACCCTGTCATGAGACACACAGTCGAACACGCTCCCTCTCATATATTTAAAGTGAAAGGAGACGCAGTTCGCTCATGTCGGATACAGCTGGTACTCCGGACGGTCCCTCAGAGTCTTCCATCCGTAATGACTCGGTGAGCCACGCTTTTGGGGTGATGCGGAGTATCATCGATTCCAGTGATACGATGTAAATACCCCCACCCTTGATCCTAAGGCGACCACCTAAGGTTGCTTCAACGCTTATGGGATCACGGGCGTCTGGATCCAAAGCATCCCCATCGGCACGTCTCTCCCTGTCCGTCCGAGTGGGGAGTGGGGCGCAGGGCACGCAAACGGTGTTGATGGGCGAACGTTGGTCAGCCGCGGAGGACGTAACGCTTAAGGCCCCCGGGTGGGGAAAACATTAGGCAACACTTCCCGCCGGACCAAACGCTACCCGGTCGGTGTGGTTTCGGGATCAGACCCCATAGCGTGGGATGAGACCAAAACGCCCCCAACCGGATCCCAAGGCTCCTTCCCCAGACCCCGGTACCACGAATTTCCGTTTGGCAATCCGGGCAAAGGGGGACAGCCGCGTTCCATGGGCGTTCTTGCCAGCTCAATCGGAGACAACCCATCCAGCCCTGAGGGCAGAGTTGCTTGAGCGCAATATTGTGCGCGCCCAGGACTCTGGAGACCTCGGAGGCAGAACGCACCAGCCTCCTAGACCAGGC